TTTTCAAATTCATTTTGTTTTTTTGTATTCTTCTTTTTTATTCAATATGTTTATATCATTGCTGTGTCACTCATTACAGACTTTTATTAAATTTCCAGTTTCCATTTTCATACTACTATATTTGAATATAGGTGAATTCTCTCTGAAACTCTGTAATTATATTTTGGTATAGCAGGATAAAGAAAGAACCCTTTCTTTCAACTGTTGCCCTAAAAATTTCCACCTCTTAATTAATGAAACCTATGAATATGTGATCTTGCAGGGTCAAAGAGACTACAGATGAGATGAAGTCATAAATTTTAAAAGAGAAGATATTCCTAGATCATCTGCATACAGCCAGGGCCATCACAATGTCCTTTATGAAAAGCAGCTTAGAAGGTACAATCAGAGTGGTCCTGTAACCATGGAAGCAGATATTAGACTAATGCCTGTTGAAGAACAAGAACGAGAGCTAAGTAATGCAGGCAAATTTCAAACCTGTGCAGGAGGAGTGGGGGTGACGGGTGATGAAAAGCTTTTCAAGTTGAGACACCAGATAGTAGCAGCCCTGCTCAAACCTTGATTTTAGGCTTCAAGTCCCATACTGGGTTTTTGACCTCAGGACTAGAAGATGATATGTTTATATTTTAAGTGATAAAATTTTGGTAAATTTCTATGAAAGCAGTAGGAAACTGATACAATTGAAATTCAATTTTCTATGAATCTGGGGGCAGGTTATGGACAGAGGAGATATTCTCAGAATCACACCATATTCCAGCATGCCTGTCACCTAGGTTTCTAAAGATTGTACTTATGAAATACAGCCTTTACTTTTCTAACATGGTGCTAAACCAGACCCTCTTGTGTACTGTCATATTCACACCACTGGGGAGATTGAACAATTCAGTGTCCAAAAAATACAAATGATTTACTTTGTTTAATTCATGTCACTTCTATTATTTGATATCAAGTGCAAAGTATGAATGTTCAACTTAATGACAGGGTTTCCCCTATATAAAGTGTACTACATTAGCTGATGAGCTTTATCAATGCTGTAGTACTATTAATATTGGCTGGTTTCTTGGACTGTGTGATGTCATCAATAGGTCACAATACATTGTTGAGGCCTTAGTGATACCTGGGTCATAACAATCTAGATGTTGTGTTGGGCTCTGCTCAGTAAAAAAATTTAGTGAACACATAGATTCACTCCATTTTTTTTCCTTCAGGTATGGATTTCATTCTTAGTCATCATCAGCTAAATTTTGGAGAATTGAGCTTCTGAGAGAAATTTACCTGATCTGAGTAAACTTCCAAAGAGTTGAGCCATGAAAAGAAGGCAAAAGAGGTAACATCTGGAAAAATACTCATTCCCTAGAATCTAATAATTAAGGGGTATGTTTTGGAATATTCTCTGGACCTATGATAATCAGCAACTGCATTCTAAAAAGGAGAAAGAGCATTTTTTAGTCAGTAGAAAAGTAAAAGTTGAGAGAGGGATTAAAATAGCAAAAGAAGAGACTGAAAGAGGAAAGAAAGGAGAAAGCAGTATTTTTCTACTGCCTGAGATTATCCTCAGGGCCAATGCTTTTTTATTAATTTTCAAAAATTTTTTAGTTGTTAATAGATCTTTATTTCATTTATTTATATGTATGCTGAGAATTGAACCCAGTGCCTTATACATGCTAGGCAAGTGTGCTACTGCTGAGCCACAATCCCAGCCCAGGGCTAATGTTTTTGATAGTAAAGAAAACATTTAATAATACAGGTTTTGTGTCTGGGGCTTTGGATCCAGGTCACCTAAACAAAGTCAGAGTGTTTCTGTCAAATGTTATTTTGTTAGACTCTTCCTAATTAAACTGAATGAAAATAATTTTATATATTTTCTAATAGTAATTTTTCCTTTTAGTGAAGATGAAAGTGGCTCATATGGATGAGGAAAACCCTGAAGGAAAGTGAAACAATTTAAAACTGGCCATGCAGGGATGTATATGAAATTATATAGACTTTATATACTCAGGAGTAAAAACTATTTTGTTGCAGACTCTAAGGTAGAAACCTGGAGAACCTATGTGAAATGTAAAGAAAAAAAGACAAACACTGTTTAGCTATGATGGATAAATTGAAATAAGATTTGGCTTTTTAAGGGAAATGAGATAATGGTGGTAAATATACAGATTAAGTTTAAACAAATCCCAGTTATGTGATAGTATTATCCTTCAGTGGTGGTAGGAGAAAGATTGTAGCCAACAACAACATACAAAATTGTAGCTCATATTTCTGAAAACAATTTGATATTTCCTACAAAAACTTCTGAGGATGATCTGATAATTTCAATGATACTTTGGACTTGTGTGTTTCCTAATGGTCACTTGGAGAGGCATGGGGACCAAAGCTGTCTTCATCACCTTCAATAAAATCAATACATATTCAAGATGCTCAAGATGCTACTGAGTATAAACTGAGAAATACCAAGAACATATACCTAATCAAACCCACATAGATAGAAACACATAAAACACTTAAGTAGGCCAGGAAAAAGATAAATAT